CATGTGAAGTTACAAATTGGTGTAAATTGTAACAGAGTAACTGTTTATCTCTAATTGCGAAATCAAACAATCCGTGTCTTAGAAACAAAGGAAGGCTAATTAACAAACTCGGAAGGGGCTTTTGTTTAACCGAGTGATTAACGCCGTGTGGAACAAAAGTCATTAGCTCGGGCGTTTCATGTGTGATTAATGCCAAAACCGATTTAGTTATTGCGGTGTACGTGCAGCCGGGATTAAAATTAATTAAGCGTAGCTATCTGAGTGCTCGCAGCCGGCTGAGTTGGACATTTCTACGTTTGAAGCCGATGGAAAATGACTGTTAAACTGGTCCTCTTCATCGCCTCTCTGATGATCATCATCATCATAATAATCTCCGGCTCCGAAGCAACTTTGCTTTATCCGACACCTGTGAGGAAAGTGCAAGTACGTGCCTCTGATTTAATTAACCTTCAGTGTACTTAGGACTTGTTTTCGTAGGCAATCATGGGTGCAGGATTTCCGGTGGACCTGCACGACGAGAGCGTGGTGGTTGGGATCGTGCTCAAAGCGAATTACAAGCTACCCATCAACACCACGGACTACACGAATCCAAGCACAGTTTTCGCCCGAAAGAAACGCTCTTTGGATGTCCTCACTCCAACCAGATGGGACATCTACAAGATGCTCGAAGGTTACGCCGAGATGTACGGATTCGGTAGCAAAGGGTGCATCCTCCGGACAATCTGCGAGCTTTCAGAAACCCCAATTGACAAATCAACTGGAATAATCGAGGAAATACTGCACGCCATCTTCACGTAAGACATCCCAAATTTCAACATTCGCCCTTTTAGCTTCTCCACTTTATTTTTTCGCAGTCCGTCGAGCACGAAGGAAGCTTTAAACACTCATTCCGATAATGAGTATCACGCGGCCCAGCAGATCGGAGGACGGAGGAAGTTCAAAGGGAACTGCGACAGGTTTTTCCCGGACTGCGGAGCCAGTTTCGCAGACATGTTCACAATGTTACCGAAATAATTATCGAATAAAAAGAGTTTTTATCGGATTCTTCTGCTCAATTAGGTTAAAAAGAAACGTATCGATGTCGAGGGAGAGAAAAACCCAATGAAGCGTGTAAGAAAATAATGCAGAGATTTATTGTTTTGTAAAGTTAAAGCGTTTCACGGTGATAAGGTTTTGGTGAATTGCTCCATGAAGTCGGACTCGCATTCGGGGAAGAGTACCTCGCATTGCGCGTATTCCTTCCCCAATCGTTCGGCTGCATGATACTCGTAATCGTATTGATCTTCGACAGCTTCATTAGTGGATGAAGGACTACAAATTAAACAATTAGTAAAAATCTAATCAATTTGTTAAATTTAAACTCACGTGAAAAATAGATGCAAGACTTCTGAAAGTAATCCGGTGCGACCGTCGAAGGGTGCGGATGCGGCCTGGCAAATCGTTTTCAGTATGCAGGATTTAGCGTCTTGATAACCGAAGCTGCGAAAGCAACTGTAACTCTTCTAATGATTCTATTAAGTTCACTCACGTTTCTGCGAACATTTGGACTGCAGCGTACAGCTTCCATCTGGTCGTAGCCGTTGCGGCTTCGCGTCTCTTCCTCGCCACATCGATCGAAGGTCTCGTGATGATCGTGCTGTTATTTGGTAACTCGTAGTAACTCTTAACCGCAGCGCCCCAGGTTATGCTGTGATCTTTAACATCCACCGGCAATCCAAGACCCACCACAAGCTACAAAATAAATGCAAATCTCAATAAACGCACAACTCACAGAAAGCAAACCCACTTCGGCCCAATTCAATCCGGGTTGATAAATTAACGTCCTCCTTTGTCTTGAAAGAAGCGCACTTGTATCTAGTATACTTGATGAATAATTGGCTAAAACTAAAACTGTTAGTAATAATTTCAACATTTTTGCAACACCGATGTCTTTAGATAACTGATCTCTTTTAAGATCTTCTGGGAGAAGTTCAAAAAAAGTAACGAGCTACGTCTGTTTACCTAACTGTGTCATGCACACGACCACAAATTGATCCACAATTAATATTTCACACCGATGCTGAACGGAGTTAATCTCTTGCGTAAACAGAGACCAATCACCGTTTCGCGCCACAAACTGATGCACTGATAAATAAATAATCGCAGAGTAAATATGTTTCCATTCCAGATCGACTTGTATATGCTTTGCACTCAATACGCAAATTCTATTAAGACCACATATAAAAAAATGCAACTTTTAAATTTTACAACCTTTTTTTCAATCAATTGTATATTAATTAATTACTTAATAAGTTTACAAATGAATTATATTAAATTGTATTTTTCATGTGCATTATCAAATTTGGAAAATTTATGAAAGTTCCTATTCGAATTCAAACATTTATGCCAGGCTTTATTATAATATTGGAAACTCGTCGATCCACACACGCATCGTATCAAGTGGCTGATGAGTTTATTAACGCTCCGATGATCATCATCCGAACATATTTAATTGCGAAATGTCATCCTTAATTAATTCGCCGGCTTTGCACACCAAAACGCGGACCAGTTTAATTTTAGAACAATAACGTGTCATAGTTTAATTGATTGATATATATATATATATACATATAGTGTAACGTAATATCAGGGAAATACCAGCAGTCCATTCAGATCTAATTAAACTATGCAAACTGAGTCACTGACGTGTTAATTGTTAGATAATAACATATTTATTTATTATCTTTCAACAGATCATTTCTTCAATTATTGTTTGTAATTATTATTGATTTAAGTTCATCTTTTTGTTTTAAGTTAAAAGATTTTCATCAAATAAAGTTCTTCAAAATTTTGTGTTAAAATTTGTAGTTTTTTGAAGCTTATATACGTAAATCTTTCTGGTTTTTGAATCACAATTTATAAGATTGTCTAATTACTTAGTATTACTAAATTGGCTTAGTTTAGGTATATATTTCGTGTGAATAAGTTATTTACTTATCATTTTTTTAAGTTTTTATATCAAAATTTATGAAACTATCAAATTATTAAGTTCAATTCAATTTACTTGATATAACACAATTTGAAAAATTATCAAATCTCCTTAGATTTTCATTTATAAAGATTATCAAATTACTAAGTTATCCTAAATATTCATCATTTATCCGATTACTATCCTCTATACACGTTGTTTAACTTTGTTAATCTATAAAGCTTGAAAAATTTGATATAATTCCAAATAAAAATACAATTCATTTAATCCCTCACTGCATCTGTTCCTACTAGCCACTATTAATTCTTTAACAGAAGGATTAAGCAGTTCGCAGGTAAAATGCGATATGCTTTGACACTTACAAGGCTTTCAACTTTGCTTCCGCGCGCCCCACGATTTAATCCCGAAGGAGAGTCATGGGCTTAACGTGGACAAACTATTCATTCTTCCCTCATCTCTCGTTCATTTTTTTCTATTATCCTCCTGTTTAGGACCACCCGTCCAAAGGATTTCGTCCTATAAACGTCTTAAAAAAAATATCCCTGAGATTCTTTCCCCTCGCTCTTAGATCATTTTTCAACAGCATCACCAACTTTTACTTTTTTTTATATATATGGATAGTGTAACGTAATATCAGGTAAATACCAGCAGTCCGTTCAGATCTAATTAAACTATGCAAACTGAGTCACTGACGTGTTAATTGTTAGATAATAACACATTTATTTACTACCTTTCAACAGATCATTTCTTTAATTATTGTTTGTAATTATCTTTGATTTAAGTTCATCTTTTTTTTTTTAAGTTAAGAGATTTTCATCAAATCGTGAAGTTCTTCAGAATTTTATGTTAAAAGTTTGTAGGTTTTTGAAGATAATGTACGTAAATATTTTTGGTCTTTGAATCACAATTTATAACATTGTCTAATTGCTTAGTACTACTAAATTGGCTTAGTTTAGGAATAAGTTATTTACTTATCACTTTTTTTAAGTTTTTATATCAAAATTTATGAAACTATCAAATTATTAAGTTCAATTAAATTTACTTGAAGATTTCATAACACAATTTGAAAAATTAGCTTAGTAAATCTCTTTAGATTTTCATTTATAAAGATTAACAAGTTATCCTAAATATTCATCATTCATCCGATTACTATCCTCTACAAACGTTGTTTAACTTTGTTAATCTATAAAGCTTGATATAATTTTAAATAAAAATACAATTCATTTAATCCCTCACTGCGTCTGTTCCCACTAGCCACTATTAATGCTTTAACAGAAGGATTAAGCAGTTCGCAGGTAAAATGCGATATGCTCTGACACTTACAAGGCTTTCAACTTTGCTTCCGCGCGCCCCACGATTTAATCCCGAAGGAGAGTCATGGGCTTAACGTGGACAAACTATTCATCTCTCGTTCATTTTTTTCTATTATCCTTCAGTTTCGGACCATCCCTCCAAAGGATTTCGTCCTATAAACGTCTTAAAAAAAATATCCCTGAGATTCTTTCCCCTCGCTCTTAGATCATTTTTCAACAGCATCACCAACTTTTACTTTTTTTTATATATATGGATAGTGTAACGTAATATCAGGGAAATACCAGCAGTCCGTTCAGATCTAATTAAACTATGCAAACTGACGTCACTGACGTGTTAATTGTTAGATAATAAAAATTTATTTATTACCTT